GATTTTTGTGAAAGCTCGAACTTATTTTTCAGTCTAGACAACTTGGCTCTCCACAAAGACAATTTTTAGCTACTTCGCAGAAATCCTAGTGGGCGTATACGAATATGAGGTTTAGTTCTGAGTTTCTTAATTTCTTACTGTCGTGTCTGTAACTGAGTCCTTCCACATCTTTTAACTCATTCGTGGGTTGCACCTGGACCGGTTTATTTTGTGCCATGTGGGTGGGGGCTTTGGGCCACGATACTGCCCGTTGGCATGATTCAGGGTGCATTTGACATTTTCGCCATCTCTTAGACGCAGATATCTCTGTGGTATGAATCACTCCAAGGGCAGTCGGGGTTTTTGGCCAGCTGGCCTTATAAAGACAATTATTCTTCAAAAGAATGCTTCATTTCTGGTCTGCTGAAAAGTCACACGATTTACTCAAACATGGTTAACTACTAGCTTTTTCCATAGTGCTTCCATCCTTTTAAACAAGACAGTAAATTCGTCGGTAGACTGCGATTTTCTAGGCTTCCTTTGGTCCATGTCATTTGTGGGTGTAGCTGGTTCGAGGATTACAGTCTTCTTTAGGCATCGTGCATCAAAGTGATGTTGGTTAAATGTTGATTGACAACCAGTAACCGCTAAACCTTACCCTTACCCAATCTTCATTGCTCGCCATTCGTGCTAGGTGTCTCCGTATAAATCCGAAGGGCTTGGATGAGGAGAGTCGGGAGTACCTCTCTCTCTACCTCTTACTCATCAATTGCGGCTCAAAGAGCGAAGCTCGCGCCAAATTTAAGTTTTCCATCCTCAACGCGAAGCGCGAGGAGACCAAGGCTATGGGTAGGTTGTGCTCCTTCTCCTTTTATTCTCCTTCTCTTTGTACTTTTAACCGTCGTCTCACTTACAGAGAGCCAAAGGGCGTACCGTTTCGTTCAAGGCAAGGACTGGGGTTTCAAAAAGTTCATCCGCCGAGACGTTCTCATGGATGAGGCCAGTGGACTTCTTCCCAACGACCGACTCACAATTGTTTGTGAAGTGAGTATGTTGTAACCGGTTTTTGTTGGGCTCTTCTGTGGAGGTCCTAATTTGGTAACTTCTGAGGCGTTGGAGATGCAAGCATTTACTGCAATGCGTAAGAACATTTTCCACTCGTCTTACCACAAAACAAATTTTAACTGCTAGAGCCCAGCCGCTTTTCTTTCATCAGATTATTGGTTCGAATGGGAGACAATTTGCTATCGTGCCTGTTCTCCCAAAGCTATTGTGAGGTCTGGAGAAGATCACTGCACTGTTGGGTGGGTTTATGCCTCATAAACAAGCTACGTTTGCCTATTAGTGGGTAGATTAATTGTCTTCAGATTTGTGGCTATATTTCCATTTTACTTTTGCCAATTTCCTTGCCTTTGGTCAGACGAAATGGAGGTCGTCTAGTTTTCTCTAGATCAGTCTTCATTATCCCAGGTTTGGTCTTCATTTTTCAGGGAGACTTCTCTTCCATCTAACCTACAAGTTGTTGTATCGAGTCATAGTCAAAACGAACAAAAAGCTAAGCAAGACAAACTTGGCTTCTCAGTGAGGTACGCTTACTTCGCAGTCCAGCATATTAAATACA